ACCACCTCTAACACAGATAAGTAAGACTAAGATTGTACTAAGGTTTATTAATGAAATGAAAAGGCAAATTTTCAAACATTTGAAAAGGAATAAGGCTAATAAATTATATAATAATGAGTAATGAAGTAAATAAAACTAAAAGTTGTATTTCCACAAAACATATAATAAAGTAATAAACATGTTGAGAATTTAGATATCTTATCACAGCTCTATGAATTTATTAAAATGACAAGTTGTAGTTCCATAACATGAATACGTTGAGTTTTTGAAGAAGAAAAATGGAAATGATGGTCCAAACATAATCTTCTTGGGTAAGTGATATAACATAAAACTTCATAATCCTAAAATTCTAATATATACTAAATCTCATATATAATCACTAATTATGAACGGACATCTCACCAGGTTCTAAAATAAATAAAATTTAAGATTTATGAAAATAATATTTGTCACACACAAATCACAATATCAATTGTCGATTATCGCTCTCTCTATGTACTAGTACAGAGCCCGTGCGATGCACGGGATGCACAATTTTAAGGTCATTTATCCATTTTTATAATTATAGAAATGAATAAAAAAAACGTACGGGATATATATCGTACGTGACCTGTAATCGGTCAAAATGTGAACACGGGTGATGCACGGGGTGCACAATTTTAAGGTCATTTATTACTTATTAGTACAGAACCCGTGCGATGCACGGGGTGCACAATTTTCTAGTATGTGTAATAAAAATACATACCGTATGCACGGGACAGAAGCACTAAATGAGTCATTTCCGCAGAGCTTGTCCGTTAAGGTAGCTCCTGAACACGGGTGCACAATTTGTAGTACGTACCATAAAATCAGAACAGATTTCCATACAATTAGATAATAAATAAAGCCTTTTTATTTTAGTAAAGATTTTACGTACTTTTTTTTACTTATCGGATGTTATGAGATTTTTTTTGTTAAATCGATTTTATGGAATATAATACAAATGCAATTAGAGGATTGAACAAAATCAGAACAGATTTTCATACAATTAGATAATAAAAAAATTAGATAAGGAAAAGAAGGAATTAGATAAGGAATTTTGAATTTGACTTTTTTTTTTTGGATAGATAGACTTTACGTACAAATTTTGACTTCACTGATTTTATGAGATTTATTTGGACAAAATCAATGTTAATATGGAATAAGACAAATCTATAGAGTCTTTTTATTTTAGTAAAGATTTTACGTCTTTTTTTTTTACTTGTCAGATGTTATGGGATTTTTTTTTTCTTAAACTGATTTTATGGGATATAAGACAAATAAATAAAATAATTAAATAATATTTTTGATAGAAATAGCAATGCATTAATTACGTTGACTTTTCAATCTACTAAATTGGGTAAATAGGATACCTTATATAATAAGTATAGATACAAATAAATAACATGCCAAAATTTTAAAGAATAATTAATGTATTTTAATTTATTATCTAACCATCAGTAATATCATTTAATGATGTGATCATTATCTCTTAAATGATAAATAAAATATTAATTTAATTTTTTTTTTTTTTGTTTTTTATATACTCAAATAAAAATTAAAAAATACTATCGACAAATATGAATTATAATATATATCAGTAAAATCATTACAGAAGTTAATAAAATTATTTAAGGAAAGAATTTTTTAATCATATTTGAATAGGAAATATATAAATGCAATCAATTAATGCATATAGTAAAAAGTTTCTAAATAAAGTATGCATTAAATGTGAGTTGACTTTTCTTGCTACTATTTTTGGTAAATAGTATGGCTTTTAATATAAGTATAGATATCTATATGTCTATATGTATAGAGAGAGAGAGAGAAAATGGATCATATGTGAAAAATAGATAGTGAAAGAAATAATAATAATAATAATATATATAAGGTTGAGTTCACATGAGAATAGTTCTCAATGAAAGAAATGAGAATAAATCCTAGTCATTAGATCTCACAATCTAATCTATCTATCTATATCTATATCTATATCTATACTACTTTAAAAGGAGGAGTGTTTTTGTAAAAATTCATAATGCCTAAAACCCCTTACTTTGACATAAATTTAATGGCAAATTAATAATACACTAATACACACCATATTTTATTTATATTTTTAATAAAAAAATGAACTACCTAAAAAAACCTTACTTTCACATGTTTTTAATGGCAAATTGGTAATATACTAATGTCATCATATCTTATATCCTCCCTATATATAATTAAAAAAAATAATAACTTTTATGAATTCAACATAAACAAATCAATGAAAATAATATATTTTTAAAAATTTTATGACCAAAAGTTGACTCGACAATATTATTAATGAATTTATAAATTGTAAATATTTAATTAAAATATTAATTAAAAAATTGTAATTATATATAATATAATATAGAATATACAAATATTTTATATATAATGAGACAGATGATCGAAAAAAT